TGACATAAAAAATAAACAAACAAATTTTTTTTTTATAGAAATTTGTTTTCAAAGCTACTGTAAAAGAGAAAAGTCAAAATATTTAATAATTTGACATTAAACAAATGTGAAAATACTTCATATTAGATCAGGTCTATTTGAAGTACTATTTTTAGAGGTTAAGTGACTTTTTATCAATACATACTTTGAAAACAACAGCCAAAAACTGTTAAAAGTCGTAAAAGGTATTAACATACACATAAAGAAAGCTTCAAGTTAACATTTAGTCTTAATGCTCATATCTTGTTAACATTAACCTGGAGGGTTACTATTTTTTCTGGTTAAAATGACTAAAATTAGTTTTAGGTATTTGCACATTTTAGATTTTAGAAAAGCAGTTATAGTAACAACTAGTTCATTGATGTCACTCTGATATTTAAATAGAGAATCTAAATATTTATTTTCAGATTCATCTTTAGAAGTTGTGTTCTGTTCAGTCAGCAAAACACTTTACACATACAAAATCAGAATATGTAACCCACAATTATACTGATAAGCTAGCTAGGCCTGTTTATCTTGTAATAACAAATGGCTATTTCAAAATTTCTTAATTGGCTCTGCCTCATACCAAGATACTTGGATTAACAAAGCATTTCCAACACTTTATTAGAAACAATTCATGTTACACTTAATAAATATTTTATTAAGTATAATTCACCTTATGGTTGTAAATGTAAATTAATCTGTACTTATTAAACAACAAAAATGCTTAAGTTAAACACTTTTATAATAACAAAGAGATGTGTAAGACATCTCATAATACTATAAAATATAATGCAACATTTTAAAGAACTTTACAATTCTTAAATATTTTATCACATGTTGAAAATGCCAACCTTTGGTTTGTTTTTCTAAGATTGAAAGTAATTAATTTGTTAAAATTTAATACCATCCTACTGTACATATAATTGTACTTTTATATTCCATGCTAAACAAATTACAGGCAGATAACAGAATTTGTAGGCTTAACAGTTTGATTTTTATTCCTTGTTTATTGTGGCCACTAATATAGCATGTATCAGTAAGAAAACAATATGACAATTTAATGTATTGAATAAAACAATGTTAAGAAAACAAAACTTGAAGAAAGTGCAATTGGTAGTTTGTTATAATTAAAAAGTAAAATTTTACTGAGTGTGATAAATCTGTAACAGGAGTTTTTACAGTATTAGATAAATTATTCCACTGATTCTTTAATTGTTAAACTGTTTCTGCAAGAATGTAGAAACACAAAAATATACACATGCTTTATTAAGGTATATATAACTATACCGTGTTACTTCAATCTAGAGGTTTTAGTATACTCATGGATAAATTTTAAACACAAATATTGATATAACTTGAACTACTATCATGTTTACTGCCCGAGTGTTTGTAAACCTCAAAACAATTGTTTATAAAGTTGTGTTGACTGAAGGATTGCTTCAATGAAAACAGGAGGCAAAGAAATCACTACTAAGGATCATGTAGATTATGATGTCAAGAGTTCAACAACAAATTTCTGAGTGCAAAATCCAAATATAGTATGACTATTCCATTCCCCACCCAGTTTAAAATGTTTCCACTTCCAACAGAATCAGGAATTAGATTTACTAAGCAGAGTTCATTTTTACAAGTATATTGTATCAATTGATAAAGATATACATCCAGTATTGACTTTGAGATCTGTGTCAAAGAAACAAATGTACACCACTATGTTTAATGTTTGATAAACTTACAGACAGATTAGTAATGGAAAACATCTCTTAGGAAGTGCAAAGTAGGCATTTGCTAAGTGATGTTTTCCATTGTTAGGCCTATTTTGCATTTACTATTGCAGGGATGAGAATTTCCAGTAAATTCACTTTTTTCTGTTGTTTTTTCCCAACAAAGTTCATCAAAGCTCAATACAAATCTGATGGAAAAAAATGGGGTGGGGTCAGGAATGGCTTCTGTGTCTGCCCTAACAACTAGCTTAGCTTCTGAACTTAACAAATTATTGTCATATTACACAGTTGCCAGTAAAATTTGCCTTGCATCACATTGCTGTGTGTATATATATATTATAGTATAGCATAACGAGTACATCACTATAATATAAATGGGGCAAGTGGTTTTCCTTAGCAATGTACATGTATATAGCATGTGGTATTCCCCTATGTATTGTAATGCATTAGAAAACACTTAAGGCTACAAAATAGGTACCTATGTACATACAGTTAGCAGAGTGCATTTCGGTATCTGTTTAGTTATCAAATAAAAGTTCAGAACTTTGAGAAAGAAAAAGTAACGTTAAATACATAAGGAAGCCAAAAAAAAATGGTTTATCACATGGCTTTAAAACAAAATTGATGGTTTGGTTTACTAGTTCAAATTGTAAAGCAGGAGACCTTTTTGAGAAAGTGAATGTGGCAGACCTGGTTGGTTTGCCCTTAAGAGACCATGCAAAGTCATTCAAACACACAAAATAGAAAAGACTAGGAACATAATAACTTTAAAAGAGTATTTTTATGGCTTTCACAACCTTGATGTTAATGGGAATTTTGCTATTGCTACTAGCATTAGTGTTAAGGATGAAGAAAAATTCAAACTACCTACACTTTTGTGGTACAGAATCATAACTGCAAAAGTAGATCGTACCAATTTCAGAATTTAGTTGAATGAGATATGTTGTAAATAGGCCTGAATACATTTTGCCATCGGCAGTTCCAGTTACGATTCTCGGCTTCTGATGCCAATATCCAATGTCATTGCTCTACTGACATCCTCTGCTAAAAGTACAAAATATCATCAATAGGTTAAAATAATGTTACAAATGTGTAGCTTAATATGATTTAAGCAACAGATTGTCTTTCATCATAACTCCAACTGTAGCCATTTCAGCTAGCATGTAATTGTCGAGGGAATTTTGGAGGCAAATCTAAACATCTGCAACTAGATGGCAACATAGGAGTTCTTGCAAGGTGGTAATGCTGTCAGGACACTCTTTATTGCAGCTCCGACAGTACCTGCACGCTAGCTATATGTCTACGTCTATATACAGGTTCGACCTCCAAGGAGGAGGCGGCAACTGCGGTATCTTTTTGGTGACAACAATAAAGAAAAAGCAGTGGAAGCAGCATATAGAGTGGCAACTCCACAAGAAGACAGAACCTTGAGTTCACTGAGTGAAGTGCAGATGAAAATGGCTTTAAATGTCCTGAGTTGTTTTTATTAAATCAAGCATATTAATCATGATTTTTTGCAAAAAAATCAAAAATATATCTTTACTTAACTAAATATTTTGAATAAAATCAATAAAAAATAACAATGTGTAAAAAATAAAACAAAAAAATACTGCTAAAGCTATTCTAATGAAAGCAAAACTGGGTGCATTGCTCCTACATCTTCCATGTGCTTTGCATGATATTTCAAGTTTCCAAAACAAAATTCCCTACCTTTTGGTGTCCTGATTTCTGCTGTGTGGTCAAGTATCATTTGCAGTGTATTCTGACTTTATTTTCATTATTCCATTTAATGAAGAATTGGTTTATTATCTTCTCGTTGCAACAGAACATAAATGAAAATTTGCTGATACCAAACATTTTTGTAAATTCATCATATAGCTGATTCTTGCATGTTCGAGAGAAAGCACTAGCCTTTTTTCAGTTAAGGGAAGACAGAGAGTAGGTATATATGTGTGTAGAATAAAGAGAGGGAGGGAAAGAGTACAAATGAAGGCTCCTTGAAGTTGTTAAATCATTTTAACACATAATTGATCATGGATAAAATGATTAGAAGAAGTTCTCACACAGAGAAGAAATGTAAATAATAGCCCTCTTGATCACACATTACCTTTTCAATTTGAGACCAGCTGTTCATTCTGTTTGCCATAAATTGCTATATTGGTCACTTTGGCCTCAATCTGCAGCCTCAAAAAAGTTGTACATCCTGAGTCTGGAGCTTTAAAGATGTGGCCATGCAAAAGGAACAGACCAACAGAGAGAGAGAGAGACATTTGCACTTATATATACAGGTTTCGTTCTATTCATAGTTTACTTAACTATTTTTCTTCACCAGTTATGAACTTTCATGTACAAAACTAGAAAACCACTTTTTCTTTGAAATAGACATATACCAGCTCAATTACCAGTTAAAACATACAGTAATTTAAAAAAACTGGAGCTACCTACTGCATCGTTTTTGTTTTTTTTTAGTTATTTAGTGATTGGAACATATCAAAAGTACTGATCTTATTTCTTCACATTACAATTAAATGTTATTTACTATTTTTTGATAGAAGCTAAACCATCTATAAAATACAGCTCAAAGATAGAGGTTTTTTAACCAGATATAATTAAAAACAAATAAAGTTATTTGCAATTAAATCACTTTAAGTTTCTTTCCAACATCTAAAAATGCATCCACAGTCTTATCAATATCTTGCTCAGAATGAGCTGCTGAAATCTGGACTCTGATTCTGGCTTTGCCTGCAAAAGAAAAAAAAAAGTGAATAGCTATATTAAAAGTTCAATGAAAACAAAATGTAATGTAGTCATGATGCAAATATTTAAATTTCTGAAATTAACATTTGAAAACTTTTTACTTTTTACAGTATGCGTGTGAATGAATTTGATAACAAATCAATACGCAAGACTGTAGTAATTCAAATTGAAAAAGTGTGCTTTGTCATTAAACCATCAGCCACCACCACGGAGAAACTTAAACAAGAGCATTACTTGCAATTCATTCATCTAAAAGTGGGGACTTTTTCCTAGACCAGGGTAACCACTTACGTTTGCTCTAAGCACAGAGATACCAGAGGTTCACTGAGATACACCTTAAAATCTGTACTTTTGCTTTGCTGCTTTTTGCTCTCTATTAAGTCTTTATAGGTAGTTTGGTGTGGATTAATGATGACTGTCAGAAGACACAACACTATAACATAACAGTTAATATACACCAAACCATCTGAAGACCCAATAATGAGGAAAAACACCATTTACAGCACTCCTTGCAAATGTGGATTCCAATACATTGGAGGAAGAAAACAATCAACAATCAGAAACACAACAGACACATAAGGTTTGGTAAAATTGATCTATCTGCAACAGCACATCATACATATGTGAATGTGCTTTTATGTGTATATACATGGGTGAGTGTATCTATACATATAGCTTTAATGTGAATGCTTCATCTGCAGGTTCTCAA